CAACGAATCGGTGCCAGAAAAGATGCTAAGCCTCGTCCGTTTCTTATAAAGTTTAAAGATATTGATCTCAAGCACAAAATCTGGGCCGCTAAAACCAACCTCAAGGGTTCAGGGCTGACCTTGTCAGAGTTTCTCACGAAGAAGCGACATTATTTATTCATGACAGCCAGGAAAGCTTTTGGTATGCACAAATGTTGGACTAGAGATGGACGTATATTCGCCATGACTCCTAGTGGTTCGCGTCGTCGAATTGAGAGCATGAAGGACATCGAGACTAGTGCACACACAGCTCCTGTTGAGGATCTGTCTCCTTGCTTAGATCCGTCACCAGATTTTCAGAGAAAAGAGTGGATAAACCCCCGCTCCAAGAAGTTGGGTGACGGATAATGGTTTTTTCTTGCTGTTTTGAAATGTACCGGTAATAATTGTATCTCCAGTGCTTGTTGTGGGCATTTATTATACTTTAGTTTTTATTCTTAGATGTATAATTGTTTAATGCACCTTGTTTTCACTTCTTATAACTATATAACAACAATATAACTATAGTATCATATGTAGTAACTTTGTTTACATTCTTTAATATAGTAAATGTCACACTCCGGAATGTCATTATGTTTAATGTCATTGTCAAATTACAGTTACCACAGATTTAAAGCATTTAATTTTTCTTTTTCTAGATTATATAGCATCTCATTCTATTTTGGCGAATGGCCTGTACTGGAGTTAACAATACGTTAAACTATTTTTATGTGTAAGTTAAATTACTGGTGTACAGAATAAGTAATTTATTTAAATCGTTAGGTTAAGTTAATATTTTATATTTAGTTGATAAATTAGGTACTAGCATAACATAATGTTAAATATTCCACAAAGTAATGAAGATAATTTCAATAGTTCTGCACAGTCCTTAAATAATAGTGAAGAATCTGGTCGCGGTGGTGTTAGCGTTCCACGACTGGAGTCATTATTGGCTTCCTCCTTTACAAATTGTCACAAAAACTTTAATGCTGTGCATATTAATGCGCAGAGTATCCCAGCTCACTACACCGAGTTAATTGCATCCTTCTGTTCCAGTCCTGTTCACGCTATTTTAGTCTCAGAATCTTGGCTAAAACCGTGCCTGTCCTCTTCTATGTACTCGTTACCAGGCTTTAATCTTATACGGAATGATCGTGTTGGCCGTGTCGGCGGTGGTGTGGCTATTTATTTACGTTCTGATATCGTATATAACTTGCTTAGTACCTCTCCTCAGCCGCCTCCAGCCGATGCTGCAGAACACCTCCTAATCGAAATTGCTCTTTCCTCGACAAAAATTATGCTAGGAGTTTTCTACTCTCCTTCCTCGCATGTTAACTATTTTTCTTCCTTTGAAAAGACTCTCGAAAATTTCTCTCCGCTTTATACTCACTCTATTATCATGGGAGACTTTAATACTTGTCTTTTGAAGAATGACTTCCGCAGTAAAAAAATTAACTCTATAATAGCATCTTCTAACCTTAATTTACTACCTCTTCAAGCAACTCACTTTTTTCCAGGCGCTTCTCCTTCTCTTCTTGACCTTATAATAGTATCTTCTATCAACCATGTCGCAAAACATGGCCAGCTATCAGCCGACTCCTTTTCGTTCCACGACCTGTTGTTTCTCTCATATACCATTCGCCCTCCGAAGAAGAGGCATAAGATTATATTGCAGCGAAACTTTAACGCCATGAATGTTAATGACCTGAACAATGACGCTCGTATGATTGATTGGGGTGATGTTTTAACAGCTGATACCATTGACAAAAAGATAAATAGTTTTAATGACTATGTAAACAAGCTGTATAACAAACATGCTCCTATTCGGCCTGTTAAAATTAAAATTAAACACTTTCCCTCTCCCTGGTTAACAAAGGAGTTAAGAAGCCTCATCCATAAAAAAAATTGTGCTAAGGCTAAGTTTAAGCTTAACAACAATGACGCCAATCTGGCGAGATATAGATCCCTCCGAAATGAATGCAACAGAAGGTGTAGGGACTCTCAGAGGAGATATTTTTATAAATCCGTTGAGAGCGGAAACACGCCTAAAACCTGGAAGTTTCTCAATTCCTTGGGTATCGGCAATCGGTCTCGCTCAGTTTCAGTATCTCCCAATTTTAATCTTGACTTACTTAATCAGCACTTTACTTCTTCTCCTAAAACTTTCGATCCCTCTAAAAAAGCTGAAACTCTAAATTTTCTCTATTCGCTCCCTAAACCTGGCTATCCTCAGTTTTGCTTCTCTAATTTCACGGATGAAGACGTTAAGAGAATTGTCATGTCGGTTACTTCTAATGCCTTGGGCTGTGATAGCATTGGTCGTGCTATGATTCTTCCTATTCTTGACGTAATATACCCTATCTTAACACATATCCTGAACCATTCCATACGTACAGGAGAGTTTCCTCTCATCTGGAAAAAAGCATACATTATTCCTCTACCAAAAGTTAATATTCCTACTAACTCAAACGATTTTCGCCCTATTTCAATTCTACCCTTCCTTTCTAAAATCTTGGAAAAATTAATACATCAACAGCTTTGTCTCTTCCTCAACAAGAACTCTCTTTTCAATTCTCATCAATCAGGCTTTCGAGCTGGTCATAGCACGATTACTGCATTGCTAAGGGTAACTGATGATATCCGAATGGCTATAGATGATAGACAAGTTACAATTTTGACTCTGGTTGATTTTTCTAACGCTTTTAATACGGTTGATTTTGATGTTTTACTAGCGCAATTACGCTCTCTTAACGTCTCGACTACAGTTCTTAATTGGTTTAATAACTATCTAAGGGGCCGCCAGCAGTGCATTCGGGTGGGTGATACTACCTCTTCGTGGAGCACTGTTACTTCCGGTGTACCTCAGGGTGGTATATTATCTCCTCTCCTCTTTTCCATCTTTATAAATTCAATCTCCTCTCTATTCTCGTGTCGTCATCACTTATATGCCGACGATCTCCAAATCTACACTCACTGTTCTTTAGAAAACATCTTAGATGGGATCAAATTAATTAACACCGATACTCAAGTAATTGTAGATTGGGCAAATTCACACGGCCTTTTAATAAATCCGATCAAAACGCAGGCAATTATTATTGGAAGTCCCCAACAACTGTCGAAAGTAGATTGGAACAATCTACCTCTTATAAGCATACATGGTACCAAGATTCCTTATAGTAAGTCGGTTAAGAATCTTGGGATCTATATTGATGCCACTCTGTCATGGAATGATCAGATTAACAAAGTTAGTAGAAAAGTATACGGCGTTGCAAATATGCTGCGCCGTCTACAAAACTTTTTGCCAATTCCTACAAAAATATTGCTTGCGGAGTCATTGTTGTTATCCTTACTCGACTATGCCGATGTTTGTTATTTAGATCTAACTGAGGAACAAGTAAATAAGTTGGAGAGGCTTCAAAATTTTGCAATTAGATTTATTTATGGTCTCCGGAAATACGACCACGTGTCAGAATTCCGTGCTAAACTTAATTGGTTGCCTATTAGACTACGACGAAACACTCACATCCTCTGTCTTCTTTTCTCTATTCTCTTCGATCCTCGCACTCCTACCTATCTTAAACAAAGGTTTATATTTATGGGTTCTTCCCATGAACTTGACCTTCGTTCCTCATACAACCGTCTCCTTTCTATGCCTGCCCATTCATCTAAATGCTATGACTCTTCTTTTTCTGTTCAGGCTGTTCGCCTATGGAATAAGCTCCCACCCGCGATTAGGCTCTCACAAAGTCTTGACTCCTTCAAGACCAAAATCAAACAACATTTTCTTGAAAGTATTGTCCAGTCTTGATGTTATTGGCTTATACTTTTATTATTTATAAAGTTGCATCTTTGTAAAATCAAAATTAAATCTTAAGTTTTTAATATTTAGTGTGTTAACGTTTTTTGTTGTGTTAGTTCTGATATCAATGTATTTTACAATTTATTGCATATTCTCTCTCATTCTCGTTGACTTTTACTCATTTATTGTTATTTTGTTTTCCTTTTCTTTATACAAAGGTTGCCTGGAAGAAATCGCCATAGGCGATAAGGCCGCCTTTGCACTAACTTTTTTATGTAAATAATTATTTTAGTTTTACTATATCTGTATATTATTTGTTTGTGCAATAAAGTGTTTTATTATTATTATTATTATAGAATAAGCGGTTGATTGTGTTGACATTGAGTCAATCACTAGCCTAGATCTTCATCCTGCGCCCCTCGCTCTTACCACCGTTAACATCCTTAAGAACGTTTCTGCGCAGCGTTTCGCGCTGCCTGCCAAGTTACATCGGCCGTATTGTACTATACGATATTTCATGGTCTGTGGCCTAGGTCTTTTTCTAACATAGCACATCTTGCGAGGTTCAATATATTAAATAGCAATATTTGCAACTACTGTGACGAAGAAGGAGACATCTAACACTATAAGGTCTATAAAAGAAGAAAAGTGTGAAGTAAAAATAAGTCTTGGCTTAAAAGTCTTGTTACCAGGCTATTAAATATTAAAAAAAAAAATCTAACATAGCGATAGGATTTTTTTTTGTGTAATATTTATTGTCCAGGTAACAAGACCTTTAAGTCAAAAAGGATTTATTGGCGTTTAACAACAAACAAATTTTTGTGAACTTATTGCTTAGGTTACAAGAAAAATAACGCATAAGCATAGGCATATAAAGTACGCATCTTATTTAATCTGTGATATGTGTTATATGATAACAGCTGACGGATCCATTAAGTCATAGAGTAGAATAATATATAATAAGCTTAAACATAAACTTTGTTTTGAATTCGTATTTATTATTTTCTTGTAGTACCTGAAGTCGGCCTTACCTATCAAGAATTCTAAGAAATTTTTTAGGTACAGTGCATATAATTGTTTGGTAATAAGACTGGTTTTATATATTTCTTTAGAGGTTAAGTGGGAATGATACAATTTTATTTTTATTTAGTAGTACTTGACGACATTTATTATAAAGTGTGCTATGGAGGAACCAGTGGAGACCCAAAAAGTTAAACTTAATAAAATTGCGTTAAGCGATAGAAAATTAAGGCTCTCTTTAAAATACAGACCAGATATCCTAAAGTTGATCCTAAAATTAAAGCTTTGCTTGGTGAAAAAAAATAAAGTTATTAAGAAGCTGAAACAACAGCTCCATAAGGTAAGAATACTAATCTATCCAGTTAAAAATAAATTCATAATATCCTGAATTAAGGTATCCAACAACAACAATAAGTGTATTGCATTTTGACTATGTGATACTTACAACAACATATGTGGATGTTGAAAGACTTATATTTTGTTTTAACATCTTTATAAAGAAAAATGTAATATTTACAGATTGTAAACGTAGAAAAACATGAAAAAAGTACACAAACAGATAATGCAAAAACTAGTGAAGACAATAATGAAAGTAAAACTAGAAACGGCATTGCTAATATTGAAGATGGTAGTCAGCCTGGTTGGGAATTAGAGGGTGACAATCAGAAGAGTATAGCTGATCAAGTTGCAGAGGTAGCACAGAATGCTATGCAGCAATCTGGAATGGTCTATGTCGAGTCAGCTGGCATGTACTATGATTATAAAACTGGATATTATTATAATTCTGTGAGTATGTAATTTATTTATGCCTTATCCTTGCTCCTTACCAGTATGTAATTATCAAAGTTGAGGTGTGTTAAAATGTTCCATTCAACAGGCTTGATCAATATTGATATATTGATTGATTAAATTATAGAGTGATAACATAATATCATTTTTTATTAATCTGTATTGTAGACATGAATGTTGACCTCAGAAAATGTAAGATTACATTCTATTAAAACCTGAATATAGTTTTATATCTTTGTTTTTCAGGAATTGGGTTTATATTATCACACGGATACTGAATGTTACTATTACTATTCAGACGCCAAGAAGACCTTTGTTTTTCATTCATATCCTGACAGGAGTGCAGAAAATAGTCAACAAATTGCACATTTAAAGAAAAAAAATAAACAAAAGAGGGTAACTAATCTTCCTGTAACATCTAGCTAAAATCTATGTAGATTGATATTTATATTATCTATAATATTAAACTGGATCAGATATAAAACATTAAAAAACTAGTGATAAATGATATATTGCAAATCTATCATGTTGTGTTATTTTTTTTAAAGAATGTTTCAATATACCGTCTTCCATTTCTTTTTCAGGTTGCCAAATCTGATGATGTAGAAAACATTACGAAAACTCTCTCTCAGGTTTCACTCCGAGGCGTCACTGCCTTAGGTAATTAAAGTATAAAAAGTAACTCCCAAATACCAACATTGAAATTATATTACAGGATGACGCTCCAAAACCAAAACGTAAGAAAAAAGAAGTGAGTGTCGAGAAAAATGATAAAAATGAAGACCAAGAAACTCGGATTGAAGAGAAAAGTGAAACACCTCTAGATTTAGAAGATGGAGAATGTAGTGATTCACATGACGAAGATGATGAAGAGCGTGCTGACTCAGAAGATTGTGGGAGCACATCGACAGCCAGTGATGATGGTAAATCAAAATTGGGCTTAATTGCAGTTAAAGGAGAAAATATATTACAACCATTTGGTTTAGTATAATAATGGCTACCAATGGATCACGTGTTTTATTTCCAATGGCTTCGGAAAGAATTATAATTATACATTCTGGATTTTTATTGTCTACCTTTTACACAATTAAATTTTAATACAAACACATAAGTTAATGTCTTTAACTACTCTCCCTCATAGAGATATGAAGAAGCCGTTAAGCTTAAATTTTTTACTTCAGAATCCATTGCAAAGCACCATCCGCCGTGTATGCGAGTAATAGTACGCGAAACGATGTTGCCAAAATTGAAAGTGGGTAGTTTATTCCTGATAACCAAAGATGGCGGTACAGTTGGAAGAGAAGGGGACCACCACACGATTCTGTTGCGAGATCAAAATGTATCTAGAGTAAGTTCTTCATTTAAAAGAGAAACCAACATTTTACATTCAATAATTTAATTATAAATAGTACAATTTTTGTGTTAAAAAATTTACTTTTCAAGGGCTCAAAGCACCATTAATTTTTTTTCAGAATCATTTGGAAATTAAATATGATATAGATAAACAGGCATATCTAGCTGTAGACCTTGGCTCCAAGAATGGGACCACACTGAATGGCGTCAGGATGTCAGCAAGTCAGGAGACAAGTAGCCCTCTGGAGGTGAATACTATGTTGTATATGATTACCAAATACTCATCAATCAACAAAAACTTCAGAAAAGATTTTGAAAATATAAAAATAGTCTTTATTGCAGTTTACGATTAAAAAATATCTTTATATCTATTCAAATAAAATTCTAAACTGTTTAAAACCTGGAATACATTAGTCAACTTATTTTTAATTTAATTTACCTGCTTTGCACGTACGTGCTACGTAGTGAAAGATAGATCCTAGGTTGTTATCTAAAATTGTACTTGATATTTTTTTTCCATTATCGACAGGTAGTCCATGGCAGTACGCTGCAGCTGGGAGAAACTAAACTGCTATGTCACATCCACCCCGGTACTGATACCTGCGGACATTGTGAACCCGGCCTTATTATGGAATGTAAGTATAGATTTTTGCTTCAGTTATATGACGACGTTATACAGGGTGTCCTACACTTATCACTTTACATTTACCTGTGGATTATACTCATTATAATTAAACTGCTTCTGAAAATAAACATTAATTAAAGTTTATTTTTCATACAAACAAAATAAAAAAATCCCTTAATTTTACTAAACCTCCTAAGTTTTGAAACTAACAAAGAAAATGAAAACACGCACTTTGTTATCAATGATTGTCATTTGTTTAGGTGTCTGTAGTCAGACTTTTTCGTTAATTTAAAAAATAATTCTTACGCCTAAACTACTAGGCTAATTATAATGATGTATATATGCTTAAGAACTTCCTAGCCAATCCAATTAAAAAATAAAACGATGTTTTTTTTACAATACTCTCAAGTATATATGTATTTCTTGTTTTGAATATGAACAATAGTTTCTATGGAGAGACAAGTAAAATTTATAATATCTTTAATAATTGCTACTAACATAGGAACAATGTGTTAACTTCACTTATTTATTACTTAATAGACTCGTCCATCAATCCATAAACTAAAGGAAACTAACCCTTACAGCTAAGGAAAAAGAGACTAAAGTGGCATACACGAGGACGTGTAATGTGAAAAGACAGCACGAACTTGAATTGGCTCGATTGAAGAACAAATACGCCCCAAAGTTGTTGGAGATAGACCAAGTCGCGTACAACGATAGAGCGCAGATGCGCAGAGAGAAGGTCGGTTCGTCGCATCACGCTGAAAAGACCCAGAGCAGTGACATCAATACGTAAGTATTAAATATAACCATTTTAAACTGGTTTAAACGCGAAATATATCAAACAATTCGTTAATACGTTTCAATATGTTTGTACTACATAAAACCACCTTTTTCGGTTTGGAAAATATAATAAATCCATATATATTTAAACCACTATATTCAATTCAAACCCAAAAATTGAACGAGCACATCTTAAATACTGTCTATAGTTTACGCGAGTAGTACACATTTAAATAAAACACTTTAACGGTTTAAAACTCGATATATAAGTTAAACTTATTTGACAATGATTTTTAACTTCTCCTCTCCTTATGACCATGGCTGCTGCAAAGCATCTGAAACTTCGGGCCGAAGTTAAAAATCATTTTCAAATAAGTTTAACTAATATATCGCGTTTTAAACCGTTAAAGTGTTTCTTTAGAAAAAAGTGTTTGTGTTAATCTCATAATGAAGGTAACCAGGATTTACCACAACGCTATATTTATCTTAAATCAAAACTAAACAATATTTCTATTATTTACTACTAACTATGAATCACATTTTATAAACTACCCATATTTGCTATTTGTTATTAATAACTGTTTATTAAGTCCAATTGGTGTCTAATAGGTTCATAACGCCAGAGAACAAGGGATTCAAGTTGCTGCAGAAGATGGGTTGGTCGAAAGGCGAGGGTCTCGGTAAAGACAGCCAAGGAAACCACGAACCAGTGAGTCTTCTCTTTTGTTAGATTTTTTGACTTCTCAAAGGAACATGCAATTTTGTTTAAGCATGATAAATAGCATTATGGTTGGGTTATTTTACCCCCCATCTAGTAAACAGAGTGTTTGTCTGTCCTTCTTTATCATAAAAAAATAACATAAACACAAGTTAAACGTTTCTGCACGTAGGGAGTTGTGCAGATATATTTCTGTGTCCGTTTCAGTGAAAGATTTCCATTTAGGCACTGGCAAGTAGTAGTAGTAGTAATTACTCCTTTTTAATTGTATAGTGAAAAAAAGTTTGTCTAAATAAAAACTACCCCTAGCTTTATTGTTCTGTAATTGCTGTTACTAGATGGTTTACTAAGCTGTTAAGTATTTCATATATAAAAATAAAATTGACTATTCTTTTAAAAATCGAAAATAACTAAAAAAAAAGTTTGGCCCGGGCAGGATTTGGAACCGGCGTCGTCAGCGTTCCGTGCTGTTGCTTTACCAATTGAGCCACTGAGTCCAACTTTTCCAACTTATTGATACATGCAACTCTCGCGCATTGTAATTTCAACCTGCGAATTTGAAAAATATTAAAGTTGTCATTACTTTGTCTTTTTAAAGTCGCATGCGCAATCTAAAATTGTTGGAAAATTCTTTAAAGTAATCGTACATCAAAATTCGAACGAACAAAACTAACGAAGTGAATTATTATATCTCCATTAACGTTTGACGTGACTAATTAGTACGTCTGAAGGATATATTTAGGGTGTCCGCAAAAAATGTGCGCAAAAACGACGACAATCTCGATTCGGAGTCGCTTAATTTGGGTGCAGCAATTTGCATCTCCTACCGTCTTGCGCGTTAAGGCGACACTGCGCTCGGCGTCACGCGATTTTATCGGTACTAGGGTAACCCAATATGGTGAAATATTAAATAAATACAAGTAATTTAATTTATTTTCTAGTAATTTCAATTTGGCTGTACGTCTGTAGGTTGCAAGAGTAATCATTAAATAATAACTTGTAATAATTAAATATATTTCGCGGTTTTAAACCGTTAAATTGTGTATTACTTGTGTTACTACAGACAATACTTAATGGAAAAAATTACTGACACCCTACTCATTAACAGAATCATTTAGATAGATGGTTAAAAATATAAAATGTAAACATCCCAAAACGTCGGGTCCTAGTTAAAAATGATCTGACTAATATATTCCTCGTGATAAACCGTTTAAACTGTTCTAATTATATGAACTTGTTACAATGATATTTTAATATCGACCGATTTAATTTTTTTCCAAAAATATAGTAAATATATATTGTATATGTTGTTTGTTATATGCAGTGAAATTAAACAAGCTTAATAGTTTAAACGCGTGTTTCTGAATAGTATAATAGTTAATTAATTATTTTTATAGAACCTCATGACGTTTCACGACTCGCCTTAACACATCAATAAGTCGTCGATTCAGTATGACCCCCTTTTTTTTTTTTTTTTTTTTCCCCTTTTTTTTTTTTTTCTTTGGGCCGCCCCGGGCCCGGGGGGGCCGGGGGGGGGGGGGGCGCCCCAACCCAAAACCCCCCCCCGGGCCCTTTGGGAAAAGGGGGGTTTTTAAAAAAAAAAAAAACAACCCCCCCCTTTTTCCCCCCCCCCCCCCCTTTTTTTTTTTTGGCGCCGGGGGGGGGGCGGGCGGGGGGGGTTTTTTTTTTTTTTTATTTAAAAAAAAAAAAAAAAAAAAAACACCCCTCCCTTTTTTTACCCCCCCCCCCCCCCCCCCCCCCCCCCCACCCCACAAAAAAAAAGGGGGGGGGGGGGGGGGGGGCCGGCCGGGGGGGCCCGCCCGCCCCCCCCCCCCCCCCCCCCCCCCCCCCCCCCCCCCCCCCCCCCCCCCCCCCCCCCCCCCCCCCCGCCCCCCCCCCCCCCCCGCCCGGGCGTTTTGGGGGGGGGGGGGGGCCCCCCCCCCCCCCCCCGGGGGGGGCCCCCCCCCCCCCCCCCCTTTCTTTTTTTTTCTTCCCCCGGCCCGGGCGGGGGGGGGGCGGGGTTGGGGGGGGGGGGGGGGGCCCCTTTTTTTTTTTTTTTTTTTTTTTTTTTTTTCCCTTTTTTTTTTTCCCCCCCCCCCCCCCCCCCCCCCCCCCCTTTTTTTTTTCCCCCCCCCCCTCCCCCCCCCCCCCCCCGGGCTTTTTTGGGGGGGTTTCCCCCGGGGGGGCGCCCCCCCCCCCCGGGGCCCGGGGGGGTGGGGGGGGGGGGGGGGGGGGCCCCCGGGGGGGGGCCCTTTTTCCGCGGGGGTTTCCCCCCGGCCCCCTTTTTTCCGGCCCCGCCCGGGGTTTTTGGTGGGGGGGGGGGGGGTGGTTTTCGGGGTTTTTTCTCTTTTGCCCCCTTTTTGGCCCCCCCCCCGCCCGGGGGGGGGGGCCCCCCCGGGGGGGGGGCCCGGGCGCGGGGGGGCCTCTTGGCCCACGAACACTTTGATTAGACCGTTTATAAGAGATTAATTATGGGGATAGACGCGCAATCAAGAAGTGAATACGATTTTCCAACGATTGTTATAAGTAGAATTATTTTATCTTTAGCAGCGAGACCCTAAGAGGTGCTTTTTTATTCATTTTCGGTAATAACAGGGCAGTCTGTAGGTCAGCCGGGCTGTCTACCTGCTCATTTAAAACAATTTGCTTATTTTTGGCTGCGTTTCGCATTAGGCTCGGGCGGATGACGGCCAGCCATTAACTTGCGTCCGGAGACCAGACGGTGACGTCCTGGACTTACATACGCCCTGTATAATTACTGGAGAGAAACCTACATAAATTACACACGATGTATCTTTATGCTTCAGATATCTTTTGTAGAAGAATAACGTCCGACATTATTGCACTTCAAACTTTAGAAAGAGACAGCTATGTAGCTGAGACCGTTGTCTCTGTCACACGCGATTATGACATATTAGATAAGGTTTTAACCGACTTCATAAAAGAAGGTTCTTAATTCGATTAGTATTTGTATTCGTATAATTAACTTTGATAATTCTTCTTTTGTTGGAATTAGGATATTTTCGTTTGAAATTACCCCCGTACCTTGCAGAATATATTGAACCTTCGGTTCAGATTATGGCATCAAATTTAGTGCTGGAAGTTATTAAAGCTCACCATCACGTACTGGAGCAAATTAGTGGATCTAAGTTTTTAAAACCCTGTCCTATGTGAGGAGACCTGTGCCCACTTGTGGGACTAATAGGGTAGAGCGCACATTCGTTTGTTTAATACTGTCTATAGTTTACGCGAGTAGTACACGTTTAAATAAAACACTTTAACGGTTTAAAACGCGATATATTAGTTAAACTTATTTGTAAGTGATTTTTAACTTCGGCCCGACGTTTCGGATGCTTTAAAATAAAATAAAACCGTTAAAGTGTTTTATTTAAATTCGTTTGTTTGTCTAAATTAGATGGTGGGTGTCGTCGATAGTCTTTCTTGGTTAAAGGTTTTTGGAAAGATCATTTGCATATAATACCGAAACTGTGGAATAAATCTAAGATAATATTATCCTCGTAATTTAAGGGTAAAACAGATAATAATAATCAGTCATTTGTCGCGGTGAATTAATGTGTTGGGAAAGTAAACTTTGGGTGGGATCGCGTTCCTTTATTTTTCAGCCATACGTTTGCTTTGTCTGCCATCAATCATTCGTATAAGGATTTAGGATAATGAAACGTTGTTATGGTGTGTAGGCCTCGCTTATAATATTTATGATTGTGCAAGCCGACTTTAACGAGTTTGGAAACGCTCAGTGAATTATCTGACGACGGAAACTCAAGTTCTTGAATTTAGGTCTTGCAATATTTCATTTGGGTAAAGGTTTTTTCTGTCTTTACAAAAACCTTTTTTAGGGTTCTGTACCACAATGTACAGTGTAAAGAGTTTACTCGTTTGAAGGCGCTAATCACAGGAACTACTTGGTTGAATTGAAAAAAAAAAATTGTGTTTGCTTAGAACACTTAGAGGAAGACTTCAGGCTGCGACTAATAGGAGTTCTGTTGTGTGTGCTGCAGAAACGGTTCTAGAAACCAAAAAATATGTATAAAAGAATGATTCTTCTTTGAAGGATCTAAAAAAATGTCTAGGACAGTATATTAGAATAAAACACTTTAACGGTTTAAAACGCCATATATTAGTTAAATGCGCACCAAAAGTGTAGCAGCCATGCAAAAGCATCCGAAACGTCGGGCTGAAGTTAAAAATCATTTTCAAATAAGTTTAACTAATATATCGCGTTTTAAACCGTTAAAGTGTTTTATTTAAATATGTACTACTCGCGTAAACTATAGACAGTATTTAGGACAGTATGTGTCTATCTTTTGAGAGTAACTCGCAAGAACAACGGGACGCGGACAATGTCGTTGGGGATCAGTTGACTTATAAAGCTGAGGAAGTTGTAGATCTATCTACAACTTCCTCAGCTTGTGTATCACGATGTATACATTCTTAGTGAGAATTACGCTTGGCCGTTTTATGTTAATGTTTTAAGTGCTTCTTCTTAATAACAACATTTTGTCACGGATATCAACATTGATCATCCTTTAATGTTTCCGATACGATCAAAAAGTGAATTACCTTATATACAAATGTTTGATGCTTGCAACAAAACATATTAATGTTATGGTCCTTTATTTAACCGTGGCTCATGTCTTGCTTTTGTAAACAGTCGTTATTGTAAAGTTGATACTTTTTTGTGTAATAACAGTTTAAGAGATAAACGATTGTCTTTTGACATGCTTGTAGGTTAAATACTATCTATAGTTTACGCGAGTAGTACACAATTAAATAAAACACTTTAACGGTTTAAAACGCGATATATTATTTAACTAATATATCGCGTTTTAAATCGTTAAAGTGTTTTATTTAAAGGTGCTTGTAGGTTGCTATATATAGCAATGCAAGTCTTGATTTGAAAAATTATTTTTGTGTTGTTGGTTAGAGAATCGATTGAGGAAGGTTATAAAATATGAACATAGCGAGCGCTG